TACAAAATTCTAATAATTTTGTATTCATTTGTATTGGTCTTGCTTTGGTAGGAATTTTGGATTCATGAAAAGTAGATTCATATGGTAAACTTACTATATGCTTTTTTCTTTCCCAAAAAGCATTGGGTAATTCACTACATATTTTATTTTTTATTTGTTTGGTTATAGTTTTTATTTGTTCTTTTATTTCATTAGATTGTAATTTTCATTCTATTGTTTTATATTTAATTTCTTCTTTTAATGAGCATAAAAAAATTTTCTTTATTTTTCTTTAACTCTATTTATTTCTTTTAATTTTGGTTTATCTACAAATTCAAACTTTATTGTTTCTCCTACTATGGTTGTTTCTATTCCTGTGTTACTGATTGTTATTAGATATAAAAGAGAAAGGAAAGGAACACCAAGTATTACAGCTTGAATTAGTCCTTTGACCATGATAAATGGAGTAGGGAAACAATGTCCATTATTGCAAACAACAGCATTTGATAATTTATATTTTATGAATAATCTGCTTCCATCAGCAGTATTCAATATTTGTGTTGTTTTGTCAAAATATTTTGTTGGTACTAATCCTTCATTAATACAATTTAAATCTGCTCCTGAGTCTATTAATGCTAGGGATTGAAAATTATAATCATTATTGACTATGATTTTTACTTATACAAACCATTTTTGAGTTATAATTTTATTAATTAGATTTACAGATTTATTATTCTCTAATAATTCTTCTATTTTAGTTCCTGAGGATTCAGGTTTTTCTGTTTGACTTATTAAATGTTCAAATTCTATCTTATCAATATCAGTTATATTTCTAGAGACTTCACTTTGTAATTCTAATATTTTAATTCTATCTTTTAACTGTTGTACTTCTCTTTTAACTTCATTGATTTCTTTTTGTAATTCCCCTATTGTTGGTTCTTTTTGAATTGTATCTTTTTTATTTATTTTTTTAATAATTTCAGCAAAATTGTATTCATCAAGAATTTTTATTTTTGCTTAAGTAATATTAATGAATTGAGTTATAGTTTCTCTTCTTTCATCTGGGTCGGTGATTTTTTCTATTAAATCTAAGATTAAATTATCTTCTTTAGATAGCATATTACAGGAACATTCTTGCATCTCTTTAGCAGATTCTTCTGTACTATCCCATATGAGATTTTCATCTTCAATATTGCCTATTAATGAAGCATCACTAGAATTTTCTGTAGAACTAATTTCAGCACTGTCTTCATGATATAATTGTATAATATCATATATTTTATTTCTGATATTTTCATCTAACATTAATGAATCTATTTTCTTTTTAACTTTACAATTACTTTTATAATGGCCTATTTTCCCACACTTATAGCATACAGGCAATTTTTTCTTTCCTTTTTTCTCATATTTATATTTTTTCTTTTTATAACTTTTATCTTTAGAATTTTCAATATTATAACTGAATTGTTCACTGAAATCTCCAAGTTCTTTCCTACCAGTCATTTTCTGTTTATCTAATTGCTTTTTAAGTTTCATATCTGTGCATAGGGCTAATCCTTCTGCACATTTTCAGCAGATAATTCTCCTATGGTATAAGCAGAATATGGTATGATACCTCCATGTTTATTTTTAAGTCTATTTTTCACTTTTTCAACAAATAGATAAGGTAAGCCTGCTATAAATTTCTCTTTCCAATGATCTAATTGGCTATCTTATCTGGTTAATAGTCTTGAGAAAAATACATCTTTATACCATTTATAATGTGATAATGTTGGACATTTTAAATTAGATAATAAATCTTCAGATCGAGCTTGAAGTAGGGCTGTACTCCCCACAAAATGAAGTGTAATGGTATATATTAAAGTATTAACAGCATCACTTTCACTATATAGGACATCTTGATTCTGTTCATTTTTAACAGTCCATTGTCTAGTAGTTTTTAAAATTTGATTTTTTGTATTTTCAGGGAGATGGAAGTCCCACTAGCCTCAAAGCCAACCAGTGAATCCACAAACTATGGCTTTAGCAACTTTCTGGTCATGGTTTCTAACCATTTTACAGGCAAAAGCATACATGGTCATATGTTTCATGGTGTCTAAAATTTGATGCTCAGACAAGCCATCTATATTCCAATTTACTATGGTTCGTCCTGAATAAGAAGTTGTATGAGATATAAGATCTTCTTCAAATTGTATATCAACTGGGGTTGGTCTATGATGATAGGGTCTAGCCGTAGCAGGTTTCCAATTTCTACCATAGGATATTCGTTGAATAGATTGATCATTAGTACTTTCAGTGAAGGCTATTTCCATGTTTTCTATAGTGTCATTGATTATAGGTTCTTCTTGAAGAGTTAAGGTTTCTGACTCTTGAATTATTAATTTTTCTTTACCTCTTATGTCTACATTATTTTTAGTATTTCCTTTTATATCAAGTTTAGCTAATTTTGATATTAGTTGATCCATTAGAGTTTTATTATTATCTCCTACATGAAATCTTTCTTTATTTAAAAAAAGAGGTGGTTTAAATAAGACAGATTTTTGTGATTCTTGTATTGGTATAGGTCTTAACATATTTTCTATTCTTAAGGTCTGTTTACCTATAGATTGCACGCATAGGTTAGTGTAATTATTTTGTTCTATTATGTGAAGAATTAATTCTGTTCTATGTACTATTTCTCCCGAAGTCATTTTGTATGGAGTAGCTTTTGTTTCTAAGGTAGGTGCATTATCTGTTTCTTTTCCTTTTATTATCTGCTTCTTTCTGGGGGATGTACACTAGTAATTTTATTTCCTTCTGTTGTGTCATAAGTCTTATATTGACTTTCTAAAGTACGTATTTCAAAATTAGGGACTGGAATTCCTCTATCTTCTAATAATTCTTTTAACCATATGAAAAAACCTTTATTTTGTTTTTCTTTTTTAAGAAATTTATTATATTTTTTATGGAATAATTCTACTAGTCTTGGTTCAAATCTTTTTCGATACCAATTCCTTATTCCTTTATTTTCCTCAGATAGATAATCTGTTTCTATATATGTTTTATATTTTTTTTGTTCTTCTAAAGTTAATACATGAAAATCCATTTCTGAATCAGAAAATTCTAGGTCTCCTTAGACTTCCTTTTGTAGTGGTTTATATTGGGGTATTACTATATTTTCTCTAGTTCTTATTATTCCTTGCAATTGGGGTTTTATTGATGAACTAGATGTAGAAGAGATTGAATACCTTGATGGTTCTAGTTTTATTTTTGGATTTTGTATTTTAGAATCATCCTTGCTTTTTAATTTTTCTTCTGAATTTGCAAATTGTATTTCTATATTACCATCTATGTGTTCAATAATTTTATCAAGAATATTTTTTGAAGGTATTTGATGATGAATATTTTCATTTTGTAAAGACCAAGATTCATGCAATATAATTTCAGACCATTTTATTGTTTTTGGTATTATAGTATTGAATTTTTCTATGTTGGTTTGAAATAAAGTAGTTCTTCCCTTAGTATCCATTTGTACTACTCTAGGACATAAAGTATTCATAACTTTATAATAAATTCTATAGATGATAGCTATATTTTGTGATCCTGGATTCTACCATTCCTAACAATGAATCAGAAAACTTGTTGTTCCTAGTATCTCTAAGACATACTAAGATTGAATTATTAAAGCCTAATCTAGTTGAAGGTTTTATTGCTACTTGTATTAATCCTATATGTAAATAGTTGTAGCTTTTATTTTTATGTACTTGAATTATTTTATTCGATAATAATTGAAAGTTTTCTTGAGTACCTGTTACAGATAAAGATTCTTCTACTGTTAAAGATTCTTCTACTGTTTTAATAGCATAACCTATTTTTAGATTAAAAGTTCCTTCTTGATAAATATTAAATATAGGTACTTTAGGTATATTGCAATTTTGTAATTGGTTTTCTATATCGTCAATAAGAATTTCTTCCTTGTTCTTTATTCTAAGAATATTATTAGTCTGAGGTAACGCTCTATTAGATAGATTAATAATAATAATACTAATAATAATAATAATAATAACAATAACAATAACAATAACAATAACAATAACAATAATAATAATAATAACTTGAGCTCTTAAATGCTAATCCACCATCCCAAAATTAGATATGGATTGTCTGAAAAAGACAATGACTCTGGAAGATATGAGGCCTGTGAGGCTCGGAGTCAAACCCCATTTAGGGGAGAATGATTTAGGCTTTTTGGAGACTTTATATGTCCCTCAACTATCAAAAAGTGGTCGATGAAGCAAGGAAACACAGGTTTTGGTGTTTCAAGGCAACACCATAAACTTACCCAATAAAAAGTAATTTCCAATTAAAAAAACATTTTTCATTCAACTTTCCTTTTTTTTATTATCCTATTACTATAAAGATGTAGATAGCTTGAGATTTTATTCAGACCTTAAGGAGATAAACATATACAAGATATACCATCTGTATCAACCAATGAACGAAAATTTGGCCGCCTTGCCGCCTAGGTGGCCTGGCCGACAAACCACCTAGGCGGTGGGGTTTGGGCAGGCACCCCAACCCCCTTCCCTTAGGGCCTCCCAGATATTTGGGCGCCCACCTTGGTGCCTAGGCGGCCCAAACCCCTGGCCGCCTAGGTGGCCGCATCCACCTTTTTGAACATGGGTATCAACATAGATTAGAAGTAATTTGAACAATCCCCGCTCATGTTCCCAAGTGGAAACTTCCATTTCCATACCTATAGTAGATATGGGTAAAACAAGTGGCAAGGACCATAACCCTCTTTTCATGGGAACTGGGTCTGCTAATGGTTGGTTTCTGTATACATAAAAGGGAGGCCCTCTTTTGCATGTCCGCCAGGGGGTCCAATTCCTCTCTTTATGGGATGACGAGCAATTGGCTTCCATCTACAATAAAGAGAAAAGGGACTGGTAACCCTTTATGTAATTTTCTTATTGGAACTTTGCTTCTGTATTCTATAAAATATGCAGGGAATGTTTTTTCTAATAAAAATGGTAGCGTACCCAATGCGGAGAAACAACTCCTCAAGAAGACGCACAAATCTCCTAGGTGGTCCAGAAAGTGTTTCCAATTCCATAGGAAGGGGAATGGGGTCCCAATGGGGTTTTGCTGTCGAAAAGCAAGAAAATGATCGTGCAGTAGAAACACCAGTAGGAGTTCAACTAAGCTTTTGAGACCCGCCATAATCTAGTTGAACTTCATACAAAACCTCCACTAACCAAAATGATCACTTCATCATCTAACTCCTTTCTCACATGTATCTTACAGCTAGAAATAGAACCCCTAATTATGCATGATTCTCTCCATCGTATGTCCTTCCTCTTGGACTAAGATTCGTCTAGCTTCCTTACCTCTTCTCTTTCATTTCTGGTCCTACATGTTTTCTAAAGATGCCCTCTCTATTCCTCACAGCAACCCCAGCCTTACCAGAATTTTGTATCCCCCACTCGAACCAGCATGGCCCCCAGCAAACCAACTGTGGAAGCTCAACCCCTCTTCATTGATATGCTTAACTGGACATAATCCCTCATGCTATCATGTATTCTGACTCCTTTCAACTTTCCAAAAAACTCATTTATTGCAGGAGGACTACCTTGTTCCAGTATGCCAAGGGCAAGCCAAAAATGTTATGCACCTGCCTTCACCACTAGGACACCGTCTCCTACCAATAACCCTTCACCCCATCTCCTAAGGTGCAACAAGTTGCTCTTCTATCATCTAGCTGGTTCTCAAGGTGACTTCCAAAATGTGAATGAAATGCTGAATTGCACTGTAGCACCTGTCAGATAGCATCACTAGTCTTAATAGTATCAAATGGCTTAAAGTATGGTAGAAAACTAATCATACATTAGGAAGTTGAGATCAGTATTAGTACGGAGGCAAGTACATCCCTAATAAAACAGCCATGTTTTATGATTAAACATTAACATGACTATTTTTCTTACTGATCGCTTAATATTCATAATTGTCAATAAAGGACCAGGTTTCAATCAGATATTCAAAGCTCATGGAATTTCAGGGAACAAATTGAAATTTGAAGTTTGTTCAAAAAGACCAATATATTCTAGGAAAACCATAAATCATCAGGTTCCATCTGATCACTGAAAAGGCCCTGATGTTTCAGAGAACAAATGGAAATATTGAAAGAAGAAAAGTTGTCCAATGCAGACTTAAATCTCATAAATTTAACACAAGTTTCACCTATGTGATCAATAAAGACAAAAGTTAGAGATAGTAGCTTTCTTAAACAAATCAAGAGTACCAAAATTCTGACATACTAGTAAACTCAACAAGTGATTTTTAAAGAAAGATGCACTTAAATTTACGACAATAACAAAATCTCGGAGCAACTCCTAGAATTTCTTTTTTAAATTAATTGTTTGGTGTCCTGAAGTAACAGTGTAGTTCGTGTGCGACAGACTTTGCATGCTAAGCCAGCCCAATTGTTCATGTGCTAAACACTTCTATGAAACCAGAATCAGTGCAGGTTAAACCACAAAAAATTACTTGAACAGTGATAGTTGTGGCACACTCTCAGGTTCAACCGATTCAAAACATTACATTAAGTTAACTCATGTTTTAACCTGGAGTGACCTAAATTAATTAAACAAAGCATGAGGTTTCTCTCTTCTTTAACACTTAAAAAACAAAGGATATAACATACCAATTTCTTTTTTAAAATACATATCAAAATTTTCATGTATTACTGGTCAAGATATTGTTATAGTATGCTCATAAAGTCAAGCATAAACCTTAGCCATCCCTAATAGTTCATAAGAAATATATTCCACCCGTTGTCATTCTTTCGCAAACTGTCACGATGAACAATTTAGGAGCAGAAAACAGGGAGTTGAAATGTTGTCATACCACTAGAGGAGCTTGTTCCTTTATTCAAATATGTTACATTGAGGTGGGCTTCTTCCTCAGGTAAGCATCCACAAGCCGAGTCAAAAGTATGGTCCAAATCTAGAACTAGGTAAAATTAATGTTCTCGATGAAGGTTTTTTTATTTAAATCAGCTGCCCGCAAGCGTGCAACTTCCCCCGCACCAAGTGTTAGATCCTGCAATCAAGAACAAGTTTACATATGAATTCAAGCCATTGGGAGTGAAACCCACTATGTTGGCAATATCAGGCAGAATTCATTTTCAAAGACAGATTATACAACTAGGAGGACTGAAGCCCCAAATATACCGATGTCCAACAAGGAGTACCTTATGTATGTAATTGAAAGCAACTGCAGTTTCCTTCTTAGCAACAATTTCATCATCCTACTGTCTCCCACATCGAATACACATATCTTTATAAAATCCTGGATAAGGAGGGCAAACTTTCTCGCTTGTATACGCCTCGAAATCATCTACAAAAGTAGAGAATTTCATATGGCTATTTGATAAACTATCAAAGAGACAAAAGAAAAAATATATATTTAAAGTTGGATTACTTCTCCAAAATCTATCAATGGTATAGATAGATAAAGTTACCGGGCAATAAATTGTTTACATGGTCCACATGTCAGTAGAAACCCTAAGTAATGAATGGCATGTTGGGTTAGATGGGAGCACCTAATTCACCCTGGTTAGCTTCTGACAGTGATTCCTTTATATCTTCATCTTCACATATTTTCTGCCTTATTTCTTCTGCAGTTTTACACAAAGTAAATATCCAAACAAATAGAATCAATAAAAATTATGTATTCTATGCATCTTTCATGATGCATATCATCATAGTCCATTTGAACGAATGCATCGAAGCACTCTACCAACATAAATAAGCATATTTGCAATAGAGGTCCAAAGTTAGTAGACATACAAAGAATAAGTCAATGATATAGAAACCCAACCCAATGGATAGGATTGAAAAGTATCAACCAATTACAAACAAAAAAACAAATGTAATCCAAGAAAACAATGGATCCATTCATGATTTATGAAAGAAAAAACCAATGGATCCATTTCCGCAGCACATAATGTTGAACCAGAGCCTTTAAATTGCTATCCTTGTTTTGCTATGTATTATATACGAAGACATGACGAAGCATTCTAGTAAAGTCAGCAGGTTGACATTGGAAGGATGGACTATTCAGGTAACAAAACTGTAGCAATACAATAAACTGATGGAGAGAACAGTGCTGTACTATATTTTATCTCAGGGTTATAAAATTCAGCATCTCAATTTTGCTCAAGCACATTGCATTATTAAATGCACAAACATCAAATCAACCCATTCTGTCCTTCAAGGATAAGGATAAAGGCACAAAATATAATATGTTTTTACCAGAGAGCCCCAACATACATCATCAAATTTTTCTTGAAATCACATTAATACACAAGTTGGAAGTCCAATTTTCGCATAAATGACACCCAAAAACACCTACGCAAAGACAAGAAAATCCAGAGAGAATACAAAAGAAATTCAGCTAAATACCTCTCTAGTTCAATTTCCTCATTGTCCACATTTTCCAGAATTGCTGAAGTGCTCTCATCCAATAAATTTTCATCTCTCTCGGGAGATTGACCCTAAGAGTTTGATAGCAAATCAGTCTCAAGGAATGATGCAAAATCATCGCTATTGAAGAGTGAACAGGAGACTCAGTTGCCGAACTCATAGCCGAAAAAAGCCCCAACCTATCACATATTGAAACAGAAACGCACAATTTCACCCCACTTCACCAGTCTCTAAAGAAACGGTGTATGGCTTTTATACCAGGAACCACGTCTCTAAGAAAGAACAACAAAACCCTCTCTGAAAACACTATTGCTTGAGCTTGTGCTACCTTTCTTGTTCAGTCCGAAGGTGTCGTCTTCAAGGTTTTCTCTCACTAAAAAGTATCAATAAAGCAGTAAAAATATATATATATATATATATCCTCAAGGGTTTGGGATGAAAATGAGGATCTTAGCGGAGAGAGAGGATTTTGGATATTGGGTTTGGGCTCGAGGACGAAAATGGAGGCCTTTTTCAGTGTTGTTTCCCGGAGAGTAAAATATACATGGAAGATGTAAGAAACCGTTTCTCTCAAAAGAAAGAGTGAAATAACTGTTATATACGTAAGACGGTTTATTGAAAATGGCCACGGTTTTTATGAGTCGATCGAATCATGTGTAGTAGATACATGCCTTCTCTCTCCATTGTTATTTTTTAGACGGTTTTTTAACCTAATTTTTTTGAATAATCTCTTGCGTGAAGATTCTTAAGAATTAAATATTATATTTTTGAAATAATTAATTTCAAACTATTATTTTAAACTTTTTGTGGGAATATCAAGTAACAACTTTTACATCCTCCTCAACCGGGACAAATTTTTTTTTTTTTTTGTGACAATATTCCTCAGTCGGGACATAGTCCAGGAAGGTTTTTTTTTTTTTTTGGCAGGGTTACATGTGAATAAAATGTAGTTTTTTTTTTTTTGACAAAGTTACATAAGAATGGAACTTGAGGGCGCTATGAAAATCAAGCCTCTACTGTCTCCACCCAAGCCCGATTCCTGGTGATGTTGGTATAATTTTTAGCCTAGTTCCCCTTTAAACCCCACCTTTTATTTATTTTTTCTTTTTTATTAGCTTATCAAATATTTTATTAGACCTCTTTAAATTCCCACCCCGTAAACCTTAATTTTAATTTTTAATTTAATTTATTATTTTGAATATTTTCTAGAATGCCAATTCAGACAGGGGAAATGTTTCTATACTTCTATTGGAGCATAGAAGAACTATCCTTCCCCTACCATCTAGCCATCCAATTTTGATCAAGAAAGTCACTCATCGTTTAATCTTAGATCCGACATCTCAAAGTATTTTTTTTTTTAGTTTTTTATACAAATTGTATGAATATGAAATTTGGTACGTGTCATCTTCTCATTGGGGCGCACCTATAAAAAAAATATTAAAAATAATTTCGATAAAATATAATGACCAAAATACCCCTTAAATCTTTCAGGGGTATTTTGGTCTTTTCTTATTAGAAATATTTTTTTATATTTTTTGCTAATGTGAGTTTAATAGACAATTGGACATCCAAAATTTGGTCTCAAAATATTTTATAGAAAAATAAATAAAAAAAAATAGTATATAGACGTAACATTGTGATTGGGACAATCTTAACCCTCCATTCAAAATGAATGGTTGGATAAGGGGAAGCATATGAGTTTTATGCAGTAGAGGAAGCATAGAAAGCTTATCCTTCAGAACAATGGTTTAAAAAACGGATCGGTGACCCGGATCGGGCTTCCAAAAAACCTATCCGGATCGGCGAATCGGCGATCCAGATCGGGAATCGGGTGAATCGGTCAG